GTAGGAATTAGATGCTATCAATAATATATTTCAAGAAACTAATAAGAGTGAAAAAAAGCAGTTTTTGCTTGCATGTTACTTGCATGTCTGAGTGCCAGGTAGAACCTTCTAACATCCAATATAGAAAACTTAGCTTGATTCATTAGACATGGAAGTCAATACCATTATATTGTTGGTGGCATTGAGTCAGAATGGGTTAGAATCAGTTTTACATGGATATTGAATCCTGTGCTGAGGGGATGGCATGTGTGTACATGCCATGCCCACTGTGTGTTTGATTTAGTAATTGTTTTTACACATAGATAGTTCCACAAATTAACCAATTGCAAGTACTACCTGTCCCACTTGTTTACCCTTTTCCTTGATTTTCAAAAATATTTTCGGGTATATAATGTTGCTGTTAATAATATCAATAATACTGTAGTAATTATGACATCTATAATAGAAGTAAAAGTATCAATATTGATAGTATTTGTAAAAAAAAGTTTTTTTCCCGCAAACTCAAAGAAGGGTAAAATCAAGTGATGTCACAAGGTCTACTAACTGATTTTGTGGCTAAGCACTGACAAGAGCCATCTATGTGCAGAGACATCTCACAAAACAATACTACAGCAAACACATTTTCCCAGGGGCATTGGGTTAAACAAAACATAGAAATTAACCTAGAAAAATGGGCAAAAGAGTGTTGATTCAGGATATTCTCCAATACGAAGCATATAGAAAATGATTGACATTGATTTTATATAGAAACTTTGCTTATTCAGATGAAGAACTTCTATGAATATCAGTTTAATTGATATGGATAGGTGGTGAAATTTATCATCAAAATCCAAATTTATGGTGACTGTCTCTGAGGGGCTGGGGGTTATAGGGGTCATCTAGAATTAGTTCGCCTACAGTATTCGCACATGCATGAGGAAACTTCTAAATGACTGTTAGAACCCACTTCTGGTTATTTCTTGGGAGCTTCAAGTGATGAATTGCTTACACAGGTAATTAGTGGGAGATACACCTGTATAGACTTTTGCATGTTGCAAACTTGCATGCAACATATGATAATGACATTATCAAATGAATATGAGTTCATGGATATCCAAAGAACATTTTTATACCAATATCAGAAAAAATGAAAATCATGAGGATTTGTGATGAAATATAAAGTGAGATTTTTCTTTTTAAAATGTTAGTTTTGTGTACATTACACATGAAATATGCTTTGCATTGAGACTCCCTGATAATATGTTGTAGTTTATAAAGTTGTTAGCATATATACCAAGTGCAAATTATGTATGATGATATTGTTCTTCAGATTTATTTTGATTTTGCCAAAATAATGTACACAAATGACTGGACACAACTCTATGCAGTTTCCCCATACCCAGTGTACATTTTTAAAATTCATTAGAGAAAGCAGTATTGATTTCTTTGGTAACTAATAATTTTTCCCTTACTTTGAAGTAGGTTTAATACTATTAACCCATTTACAATGGGTGTCCCACATATGAGACAGCCTGAAAAAAAATAATTGCCAGGCATCCCACTGCAGTCAGCGCACAGGCACATTCTGGGCCAGCGCCGCGTGCTGATTTTGAAGCTACCCAGAAATTATTATTTTCATCTTCAAAATATACCAGCACTATTGGGTTAAATGAGAAAGCTTCAGATGTTTAATTTTTTATAATTATATAGGAGGACTTAGGAGACAGGGACAGAGACCTTGGGCCTCAGCCCTTGCCTCAACTAATTTTGCTAGGTCCTCTCTTCTCCTCTTTCCTCTTCCGTATCTTCTTTATTCCCTTCTATACCATTCCTAAGGTGTAAGAGCCATGCTGAAAGGATGAAAGGCTGGCTTTGTGTCAGTCACGAATGGCCTCCGGGAGCCATGGGCACGATATTCCCTTGGTTAATTACTTAGCCCTTACCCCTTATGGGAACCCTAAGGGGTAGACCATTTCTTTTCCCCAGTTTATTCTGGTTCACCACAGCAAGTGATGAAGATTCTTTACCCTCAATGGAGGCATTAAGTCTTGCCCCCTTCATCAAATAGCCTATCTGAATTTGATTTTGATGGTTTTCCAACCCCTGCCCCTCCTTTGACCACGGTTCCGACCACTGATGCTAATACTTCCTCTTCGAGGCTTACAAACAACTCTAACCATTCTGAAACACCCATCCAGGTTATTACTCTCCCCTTGAAAGCACCTCTTCCTCATCCCCAACATTCTCCTCTTCATCCCCCGCTGCACAACCCTTTTCAGTGTCAACCCCTTCTTCCCTTATTATTACTCTTCATCCTTATTGTCCTCTCCCTGCAGATCTACTCCACACCACCCCATCTTCCTCTCGCCTTCGTCCTTCTACTACCTCTACTTCTGCAAACTTTCTGAATACTCTATTTGGCCCAGCCAAGTGGGATCGATTCTTTGTGATTCCCCCCACAGCCCCGTATTCTGAGAATACTCTTCTCTTTCAGCAATGCCTCCAGAAACCAGTAGGCAAGGTTACCTTCTGCAGTTGCTCTGATCATTCACACCTTGTCACAGTTACATCTGAAGCCCAAACTCGTGCATTCTCTACCCTGACTGACCTTACTGGCAAACCCATTCCTGCCGAACCTCACCCAACTCTTAATACTTGTTCTGGAACTGTTTCTATTCCCCCAAATGCTTATCCCATGTATAACAAGGACTGGTCAGACTGTGAAAATGACCTACTTTCATACCTTGGTGAATATGATGCAGTGGCAGTACAATGTTACACTGCCTCTTAGAGGCCAACTAAATCCCACGTCAATATTGCCAAGATTAGCTTCCATAGACAAGACCTCCCCCAGGAGGTTTATATTGGTGGATTGTCTTATCATGTCTGACAATATCTACCCCTTCCTCTTCAATGTCATAAATGTTAGTGTTTTAGCCACCTAGCCAAACATTGTCGCTCCACAGCCTGCTGCCCTCTATGTGCCCGACCTGGTCATGACCATTCAAATTGCCCTGCTCAGTCACGTACATGTGCCAATTGTGGAGACTCCCATAATGTGTTTTATAGGAGCTGCCCTGCCTATAAGTTTGAATATGAGGTAGCAGTCCTCAAATTTAAACTAGGACTCATTCTACATGAGGCCAGACAGGAAGCACGATGACAAGGTTTTTCTCTCTCAACTTATTCGAGAACAGTCTTACTCTCTGCTCCCCCACCATCTACACAAGATATTTCTGCATCTCCCCAGGTATCTTTTCCCTATACCCAAAACCTACGTCCTATGTCTACTCACCCTATCCACCAGTCAAATCCATTTTCCATCCTAAATCCAGATACTCCAATCTCTACCACTTCCCGGATACCTACTCCTCCTCCTCACTTTAGTTGTCGTACCAGACAACCTAAACGTTCCACTCCACACTCTCCTACTACATTCTCTCCTACACCTTCCTCTTCATCTGTTCCTCAGATATCCATCTCCTCTTCTCCTTATAAGAGAACCTTTGTTTCTCAGTCCTCTATACCAAATTCCCCTTCAGAAACCCTTGAAGACATCCGAAACTTCCTAAAGATGACCCAAGGGAACACTCCGCTCCCTCATCCACCCCCAATCCCTCTGTTCCTACTCCTGCTACATTTAAAGTATTTGCAGATATTCATCCTCCTCCTTCCCAAGTTCCCTCCACCCCCTTCCTCCTACACCCTCAACATACCCCACCCTCTCTACACTTCCACTTGAATACTCTCACAAATCCTCCTTTATCACAAGTGTCCTTCTCCAGACCCAGACATTTTTCCTATGCTTCACCACCTTCCCCAGTCTCCCTTTTCAACCCCTGGATTCTTCTCCTACTTCTCCAACAGCCACCTCTGTTTTCCTTGATCAGTGTCCCTACTCCTTCCCCAGTCACAGATACACTGCAATTCACTCAGTTGCTCTACCTCCTTATAGTTCCCCCAACCCTTCCCAAAATACCTCATCCTCAACCACCCATGCCACCCAAACCAACCCCCCCCAAAACCCTATCCTTCCCTACCACTCCCTCCTGGATACACACATGAACTCTTTATCACATACCTTCCCCAGACCCCACTGTCCCTATCGAACCCCCAGACACTACTCCTTCACCTACTCCTGATCCTTTATCTCAACCCTCAGATACCTAATCCCCTACTACTAAGACAACCATATCTACCGTTATCACCTATTATCCCTATTCCTTCCCCAGTCACAGATACAATGCAATTATTTAATTGTCTACCTTCTTAACCTTTCCACCTATTAATCACTACTCTGCTTCATTTACTTCCCTCCTTTCCCTTTTCATTACCATACTCTCCTGCAACACCCTCTAATCTTTGATATCTAACACCCTCCCCTCTCCTGGATTCTTTTCTTACTCTTCAACAGCTGTCTCTATTTTTCCTTGAATATTCTTCCTATACCTTCCCCAGTGACAGATACACTGTAATTCACTCAATTGCCCTACCCTTCCCATTATACTAATTTCTGCTCTAATTCACTTGCTCCCTTATTCCCCCTTTTCACTACCCTACTATCCTATAACGTTCTTAGACCTTTGACGCCTAACACATTTTATCGTAATCTTTAACTCTCCTTCGCCCTTTCCGACACAATACTTTACCATAATGCTACATGACCTTTAATATGTAGCACATTTATTTTCAAAGGGGACCATCCCTGAAGAACTGAAAAAATTGCTGATTATCAATTTTTATTTCAAAATAGAAAAAGGGTCTTGCAGATTTTCATGAATTTTGGTAGGATGAAAGAGTACTTCATTACCGCAAAATTTTTAATTTTGGCCGAAGGGAATTTAAGCATTATCAAAAAATCGATTTTTGATAGATAGGTCACTTGTGTACCTCCCATGTCTAACGATTATCATCCGGTTTCTATGTGCTTTCTGTTGAGAAAACCTGTAGGTCATACAAAGAGAATTTAAGGGTTATCAAAAAATCGATTTTTGATAGATAGGTCACTTCTGTACCTCCCA